GTTTTTTACTCTTTGAAATGCTATGCGGAATCCTGCGAACAAAATTTTAAAGGTTTTTTTTTTTTTTTTTTTGGGGGGGGGGGTTTCCCCCACACACAGAGCCAACAGACACTAGCCGTCACGGTAAGCACTGCAAGTTCATCCTTCATCATCAGTCTGGGTATCTGCACTCACCTTCTGTTCTCTGACTTAAAATCAGTGTGGAGAAAATGCAAAGCACAGCTGAAAACGAACAGAAGCCGAGCTGAGCGACTGCAAACATCAGCTCTTTAAAAGCAGCTTAAACAGCAGGTAATTTATTTTTTTTTTCAGAATGCTGCCTGAGATAAATAGTGTAGCAAGAATCTGCACCATATTTTAAAGTCTGTCAGTAGTCAAAGTTTTAGCTGCTGACAATTGATGTATTGTTCTAGTTTGAATCAAAAATCTTGAAAGAATGGACATGCCACCTGAAATTATGTTTCCTAGAATCCTAGAATGTTGCCTTGTTTGGTTAGTTTTACATTTCAGAGCCAGAGTAAGTGCTTCTTGGAAGGGTTCGGGTTGGAGATGGTTTAGCAAAAGTAAAGAATTTACAAACTGAGAAAAGACCCAGAATGTGTGTGTGTGTGCGTGGGGCCGGGGGGGCTGAAAACATGCATGCAAGAGTGCCTTCTCATTGCTGCTGTTAATACAGTCTGTGTGCTGAAACTATTGTACAATAGAGAATAAAAGTAGTTCCGTCAGCAAAATTTGCAGTTTGTATATTTCTTGAGCGAGTCGTCAAAGTGCTGCATCGGCAGATTTAACGAGTTCATCTCGCTAGCTTGGCAAGTGGATACGGCGAAGGAGAACACATAAGAAAAATTCGATGAGGCAAAACGTGTTACCAAACAGGTGACTGAAATTAACTAACACACACCCTTCATTTTGTACCAAGCCTCCTGTTGATGTTACACAGAGCACACAAAAACTCTGTACTGGAGACGGACGCAAAAGTTTGCCATTATCAGTGGGTATGATATCTGGATTGACTGCTGCTGGTTTTACAACATATATTTAGAGTTTTATGGTTTCCATGAAGCCACTGCTTACCCTTAAACCGCAATGGACAGACTCCTCAATCACTACAAATGGGTGGCATAACCTCCAGTTTCATGGATCCCATCCTGCAGAGCTTAGAAGCGAGCAGCTGATCGGACAAGCTAATCAGACTGGAAATCCTCAAAGATTTTTACCGATATAGGTTTTGCTGATATAGTTCGCATGGCATAACCACACACAAAAAGAGGATGCATTGCTATAAAGGTGGCTCCTCTTTCAGGCCAGCCTCACGAAACAGTAACTGCTTAGTCTGAATTAAGCGCAAAAAACACACTGGAACTGCTGATGGATTTCAGCCCCTGGTTTTTCTGCCCTTTCCCCTTTCGTCACTAATATCTTACTTGAAAGTATCACACGCCACAAAATAACGGCTCTCTTCCGCCAGGCACTAATCTCTGCAAACTTAATCACGTTTAGAGTGTCAGCAGTCAGCAGAGTGAGAACGAGCGGGTCGTCACTGGCAGTCTCACCCCATCAGGACATGAACAGACAAGTCTATCATGTCTCCTCTGCCATTTTTTTTTAATGTTCTTATGTAACACACAGTGGTTGTTCTCCATCGTTTTCCCTCTTCTTCACGCTGTCTCCTGAGAGCTTCTGTTTTTTTTACTAATCTAATTTATTTTTCTCTCTATGCCCTCTTCTTGTGGTCTCTCTCCCTGGATACCTCATTTTTAATACTTTATGCTTCTCCTTTGAACCTCTTCTCTTTCATCCTCCTTTGTTTTCTTTTTTTGTGTTATTTTTTTGTAGATACCGATGCATACCTGCTTGTGCTAATTTCCCAAGTCTCTGATACGTTCAGTACACTGTGTTGACCCAAGCCTTTTATCCACCTCTCTGAACTGATCACTGTATCACTCCGGACATGGATTTCTTGTCGCAGCTCTAAGTGGCCCGCGCGAAAAAGCACACGGTCTGCCTCTGTTCAGACTCAAAGAGGATTGATGTACATTAAGTGTGATTGAGATGACAGAACCTTCGGAACACTTAAATTTGTGGCTGTGACGTGATACATATCTCAGGTGAAAACAAGCCCCGAGAGAGGGGAAAAATGAAGAATGTATTTAAAGAAGAAAGTGTTTATAAAGTTAATTCCAACCTTTTATCAATGCATTATTTATTTTTTGCCTATATGGCTGCATTGTGTGTGTGTGTGTGTGTGTTTTTTTTTTTTTTCTTTTCTTACTGTGCTGCCCCATGAGCTGGTAAAGCTTGTTCAGCTGCTCTGTGTGCTCGGACGCCGGGTGGTTCAGCGGGTGTTGCTCCGGACTGCGCCCGCACTGCTTCGAGTGGGGAGGTGGCGTCTTACTGCTGTAGCTGCACACGAAAGACGGCAGAATGGTGGGATAGTTCATGCCCCCGTTCAGTCGCCCGAGCAGCGCTCCCATTCCCTGAGAGACGACGGCAGGACCGTCGCCGCTGCCGCTTCCGCTTCCGTTTGTACTTCCCCTCGGAACAGAAAGGGTCTTCATCTCCAGCGCCTCCACCCCTTCAGCGTGGCCTTTCTGGTCCGTGTGCTCGGTGACTGTGGCGTTCGCCGTGTGCTGCCCGCCGTTGCTGAGGTGACAATGTTGGTGCTGATGGTGCTGCAGGAGGTTGTATATTGGCCGCAGCCACAGTGCAGTGCCAGGTCCCGATCCCCTGCTGGAACCTAGGCCGTGTCCATTTCCACCACTATTACTGCCGATCCCGCTGCCGTTAGGGTTCACCTTTTTGCGCCGTTTGCTGATCGAAAGAGAAAAAAAATACATTAGAGATCATGGAGAAAGAAACTTCCACCTGTTGATGAATGAAAGGAGTAAAAAAGCTTGGATTTATTTACATTATATTTCAGTAAAATTAAAAAAACAGTACTAAACTTTGGCCTGAGCTTTCATGCGTTCTTGGCGACAACTCTTAAACAAGCCTGAAGATGGACAAAAGTTTCGCTAGAACTGGTGGTTGGATCATGGAGCCTAGCTAAACGGTTGTTAGCTTCCTGTTTCCATGATAATGGAAACAGTGAGCTTTGTAAATCAAACCAGTTACTTGAACAAACTGAAATAATGTTGTCTACTTCACGACTCGAATGAATTTCATTTAGAAACAGGAAGAAGCCTACACCATACCTGTGCCATCCATAGTACATCCTCTGCAGCCTGCGCCTGAACTTCCTGTATAGATGGCTAATGTATCGTAGCATCTCCTCATAGCACGAGCCTGGCTCACTGTAACTGGCCAGAGTCGAGTCATTCGACATATAGCGGGCACGCTGCTCCCTCATCAGGGCGTTCTCTCTTTGCTTTGTCTCAGAAAACTGGGTGGCGATGACCACGAGGCACAAATTGATCATGAAGAAAGAGCCCACCTGGTTGGAGAAAGTTAAAAGGAGATGTGGGACAACGCAAGCCTCGGTGTCGTTTGTCGTTTTCAGCTCATGTTGTTTCTGATCAGAAACAACATAAAACACACATAAAAATTGACTGATTTATTGATACACACAACCTGAAAGTAGCTAGAATACAAAAGTCAATCAGACTTTTAAGATAAATATCTCATCTAAGAAATTGTTGTGATTTTGATTGGCCGTTGAAAAGCAACATAGTGACAATCACTTTTACTAGGGCACTGAAATTAAATTCAAAATTAGTACTGCGCATACCCAGCTATCAAAAACATTTTTCACCCTTACAGGTATCGCCTGATTTTGCTGTCTGATCACACTTGCGTGAAACAAATCATTCAATAAATTTCAAAATCGGACAAAGACAACCTAAGTAAATGCAGAAAGCATTTTTGAAAGCATCACGAAACATGACGATTTCATTTTTAAAAAATTAAAGAAATACTCAAATTGGAAAAGTAGCTTCCCCTCCCCTCACCTTGCTAAATGATAAAGACGGTTACAAAGATATTTAATGACTTTGAACTCCCATCACATCACAGTGAGAGCTTTTTTTCCCCCCCCCCGACAAATGGAGATAAAAGGGAACAATAGCAAACGTTGATAGGATAAGCTGACCAACTGAAAGCATCGACAGCTCATAGAAATGGTGGCAAAACAAACCATAAAATGTAAGCACTGCAGATCATTTCACTGAGATATGGTCAGTGTTCATAATTCAACATGAAGAACAATACTGGACAGAAGCTGCATTCAGGAGAGTTTTAAGGCCAAAATCATTCTTGGCAACAAAAAAAAAAAAGTGTAACTCAACAGAAACAAACAACTTAAGTCTTTCATTTTCCTATTTATTGTTTGGCATTGATTTTTTTCCCATTATATAGCTGCATCTTCTTAATTTGCTTGCTGTAAACTCTTCTTGCAGGGGTATTTTGCTCATGCCCCTTTTCTCCTCTACACTACATATTTATTTGCGGAGCATAATAAACACTTTCTATATCAAAGAGCAAGCTGGAAGGGAGCTCAGTATAAAATATAGACCAGGCTTTAAGGTTTGAAAAGTTCTCAAAAGACAACGATCGCAGCAAATTGCACACAGCGAGAAGCCAGCAAGTTTTAATAGAGGCAGTTATGCTGGGAGGGAAGCTTAGGAAGTTCGCTTGCTCCCTTTCAAAAGGTTATTCCAGGTTCTCCAAAGCAGATTTAAAATCCAAGATCACTAATCTCTTGTCTGTTTCTGCAAAAGTGAGCGTCTTGTTTTTGTATTTTTTTCCCCTGTTGGAGTGCTGATCATCCATCTTCATTTTTGATCTGCAGTCTGCATCTTTCTCAACAAATAATCAAATGTTCTCTCTTGCAATATCAATCATCTTCTTAGCCGTACTCTAATTCGGTTGTCACAGATAACTACATTCATGCTAATATTTCCATAATCTCTCAATTTGTTCAGACTTATTCATTCTTGTCTCTTCCACCTGCCCTCTCTTTATTTACATGTACAATGCCTTGCAAAAGTATTGATACACTATTTGTTAGAGATTTGTTATGAAGTGGATGGAAAAGGGTTCAGAGTTCTCAAGCAAAATGAATTAAGTCTGGAAGAGACCAACATGGAGCGAGTTCGAATTAATGCCATACTTTACAGATGGTTCCCTGTTTGTAATTGAAAACCATAGAACATTTTTTTCTTTAGCTTCACAATTAGGAACTTGGTTTTGTTGACCACCTACAATTCCAAAAGGATGCACTAAGGTTTGTGGTTGTTCTGTTGCAAAACATAAAAACATTCAGGATGCATAAACACTTTGCAAAGGCACTGTAACTGAACTCTCTCGTCTTTGACCTTTCCTCGAAATGCATTTTCACCAGCTGCTGCGCTGTCACGTAAGGATGCAAATACATTTCATCACAATCTTGCTGCTTTAATCTGCACCTTCTGTTGGCTTTTATGAACCTGTCTTTTTAGTCTTTCTGCAGGTGAAAAATTAGCACAGATCAGCACAGACAGACCCTCAAGAGAAGTTTGATTCCACTTTCCTTGCTTCAGCTGCACACCGAACTAGTTTTTGTGCTGCCCTTGTACGTTGTCCTGTACATATTGCCAAACTCTTGGTACGCTGCCATGTGCATCCTCATAATACCTGTCCTAAAAGAACACTTGCTTCTTTCTTCTGATCCACTTTACATTTTGTCATAACCACTTCCAAAGCAAACACCACATCTGCAGTGGCTTTCTTGGCACAAAACCAACTAGCTGCCATTTACTACCTACTGCAAGTTCAGAATGGAGATGTCCTCAGAAGGTGCCTTGCCTTTTAAAAGATAAATCAAACCCCCCACTTTTTCTCTCTCTCTCTCTGTGACTTTATAAGATGTAAGGATAATACAAGTGCAGATCAAAATAGAGCAGAGCTTCTTTAGACTGTAAGTAATAACATGGAAACACCAGAAAGATCACAGGAATGAGCTGATAGCTCCAACAAAAAGGTGTCACTTTTTCCAGTGATATTATTCTACAACTCCAGGTATAGGGAAAAAAACCCACAATTCATAAAAAAAGAAGCTATTATGCCAAAATCAATACTTTCAAGAGTCGTAAAATGTTGCAGCTGAAGACATTCTGCTGGTTTTTATTTGGTTTTCACGGCCACAAGAGTTGTTAAGAATAAGTACAAGCTGAGGGTTTTTCCTGAATAACCTCGAAGCAAACGGCAACTGGAGGTGCAACTTAGTGACCCCCAAACACCTGCCAGTGAATGTGCTGGAACGTTTTAGTATTTGGCATTAAATCATATGCTGAGTGATATTCGCTTAAATTTAAGTTGGAAAAAATATGTTGTTTTTTTTTTGTAAAATGTCCTAAGTTTAAAATTTGGGATATTGACACTGAAAGGAACTGATCTGAACTGAAATCAACGATAAATAAGTACATAAAACGTAATCTAACACACCTAAACTGATTTTAGTTCATTTAGGTGCGTTAACTAAAATTAAGTGAGCTCAGCTGAACTAAACTTGAGTTTAATCAAGTTCAGCTGAATGAATTAAATAAAATGTACTGACTGTAGTGCAGGTGAAGTGAAATGTAGTTTGAGTGGACTAAATTAAACGAAATATTGTTGAGCTAAACCTGAACTAAACCAAACCGAGTTGAATTGTCCTGTATTGAATTTAACTCAGTTGGACCAACAATAGTTGAACTGCACTGAGCTGAGCTGAATTTCATTCAAATAAATTTAATATAGTTGGAATTAAATAAAGCAAGTTAGCCTAAATTGCATTAATCTGAAAGGAGCTGAAGTTAATTTGATTTGAGTTGACTGGCAGCATCTACTTAGCTTTGTTATATTATGTCAAGTAATGAAGATTTATGATGAATTAAAATGGTTATATTTTTATCGACAGCAGCAACCCTGAAGAACTGTTCATCTCCTGATAGAAAGCGGGTTTAATAATCATTCAATGTCCTGTTTTGTCTTCAAAATCGTGTCTTCGAATAGTAAACAAAACCTTCTAATCTGTCAACATTTGTTTATTACTTGCATATAGCCTAATGTCTGTTCTGTTTCCGATCAGTTAAACCAAATCTCTAGGTTTCGATCCAACTATTATCACTATTAACCCACTAACAGCAATTTTTCTCTTTAAAAGTGTATAGGATTGGTATTACATGTATAAATGCTGCATCTGCAACAACCTGGAACTGAGTCTATTTAGATTAAGACTGTTTAGCACAATATTAAATAAAACACAAAAATCTACTGTTCCATTTCTATAAACACATTTGGATGTTGATCAAAGATAGAAAAAAATAAAAAATAAAAAATAAAGGTGCTACTTACAATAATGAGCAGTATAAAATATATAAAATTGTAGAAGGAGTGGGCATCCATGACATAATACATGATGTCCACCCATCCTTCCAGTGTGATGACCTGATGACAACAAAAAGACAGAGAGAAGAAATTTGTAGCAGCAATATAATAACCAGCAAACCAGGGGAAAAAAAAAAAAAAAAAAAACATTCCCCCCCAAAAAAAAAACCAAAAAAACTTAAAAACCCCCC